GACCTAATATGCTTATTAAAATATCAAAGTCCTTTTTGGATACCCTCAGACTCCCACAGTACTTCCTTCTCTCTCTGCCCTAATTCAGGGTACCATAACTCTGGAAAAGAAGCAAACTTCCGTGTTTCAGGCCACAGGCACCATAAGCTGTGTCACTGTCCAGGCAGGATCTCTAATGAATCCAAAGCCATGTGGCACCTTCTCATGGCCTACTGGCACGAGTTCTTTCGCCCTTCTTCCAGGCAAAGTCTCTCCTGCTTCCCAGGCCACGAGGTCAAAGGGAGCACCCCAAAGCCACATGGTGCTCTTCTACCAAAGTTATGGGGGTTTGCACTCTGGTGAAACCTCATGGTTCCCTTTTCACCTAAGCTGCAGGGAGGGGGTCCCCACTCTGGCAAACCCACATGGTACTCTCCCCTCAATGGCTGTGATGTCTGGGTTTAAATCCCCATGCCAATCTTCCTCTGTGCCCCCATTTCCGACTCCTCCTACAATCAGTTACATCTGCCAGCATTCCTGTATTATTCCAAGTTTACTGGGCTGCCATCGTGAGTCTAGGCAGCTGGGGCCCCATGTCATGGAGCCAATCTTCTCCAAGCTCTCATGCAGGTGCTGTAACTCGGGGACCTGCCCCCCAGTTACATCTTGAGGGGAAGTTCCTTCCATCCCCCTGGCTCAGAGCATGGCCAGAGCTATTTAACATATCTATGCAACCATTTAAAGGTTATAGATATGCTAAATGATCATGCCATGGATTAGCTGTAAAGCTGTTGCTGTACAAAACAGCCCTGCGTGTTCTTGCTCCATGTGTCCCTTCCCCCAACTCACACCTGAGGGGGAAAGGGGTCAGGACATCCTAATATTTCCTAGACACCTTGAGTTCTGAACCCCATTTCAAATCCCTATTCGGGGCCCCCTCTTGGCTGCACCCTGTATCAAATGTATACAATTACTGAGATCATAATGGCCATTTATTCAGTATTTGCTGCTGCCAGGAAATACATTAAACCCTGTACATAATTCATTCACTTAATTTTAACAAAAACACAGATTCGTAGTTCTCTTCATTATTCGCACTTATTAAGAGAAAACTGATCATCAAATTGATTAAATGGCCCACTCAAGGTCATACAGATGATAAATGATGAAAGTCAAAATCCAAACTCAAGTCTGTTTCTCTCATCTTGGTTCATTTCTCCCAGTTGCTTATTCAGGAAGAGATCTCAGGAAGCACCAGCAGGTGAGCAGGGAATGGAGACAAAGAAGCAAAGGCAGTCAGTAAAGAGCACGTTGTCTAGCAAGTTACCACAATAGACTGTGGAGCTCAATTCTACTAGGAAACTCTGGGAAGCCATGTAGGTGTATCTGTGTTATCCCATTTTAGGGTAAGGGAGCTGGAGTATTTATCCACCAATTCACATTTGTGGTTGATTGAGGGCTATCCCCACTCAGGCCTAGTTTGCTTTCATAGCCTGGAAAAAAAGTTCTTGGACCAAGAATGGCCTATGTTTTCAATAAGGAGCTGGGCTGAGGGATATAGGCAGGATATGCACAGCACTTGCTAAAGCTCTTATCCACTAGCTAACTCCAGCTACTGCCAGGCCATGTGCAGGACCCAGAGGGCTGTGGGTCCTTGTAAAAATCAGTCTTGGGTGATGGCATATCCTGTTAGTAGCCTGATTTTCAACCCAGAATGCTGAAGTTTGACTTCTGAATTCCTCAGTGCTGAGAATAGCTCCTTGGATTTTCTACTATGGGCGGCTTTAATGAAATAGCCATTCCTTAGTTAGCTTTTGTGACTCATTTGGTGGCACAAAACATACTCCAGCCTTTGCACACCCTAAGCTAAGGCATTGGCTCCAACCAGGGATCAAGGTTGATTTCCATTAGGATTTTAGTGTATTGGAGGAAATAGGCCAGAGCCCCTTAGGGTACTTGTCTGGCTTTGGTAAACACAAACTCTGGGCTGAGTGTATTAACACTGTGAGCATGCCAGGACCTCAGACCCTTGGGTAAGATTTGACTCTCTGGAAAGGTCAACATCTTCTGTTAGACATTTGGCTATATCAAGACTGAGTAATTTTTCCCCCTGAATGTGCTTATTTTACTGGCAAATGCATATGATCTAGATTCTAGAGCAATGTTGTTCCTCAGACTTTGATGTACACAGGAGTCACTGAGGATCTTGTTAAAATGCAGACTCTGTAGATCTGGGCTGAGGCCTGAGTTTCTGAAATTCTCACAAGTTTCCAGGTGACACTGATGCTGTTGGCGCAGGACCACACAGGAAACAGCAAGGCTGTAGGCCGTCTCCATCCTCAAGTGAGCCACAAAGGGCTTCTTGAGCTAGCCTTGGAGAGGAGAAGTAGTCTTTTCAGCTAAGAGAGTTGCCATGAGGTCAGTGGACCGGGCAGGCCAGAAATTTGGAGTGGTTTAAAAAAAAGGTGGAGAAGAAGAACCAAGACTCTCCCTAAAGGCATTTAAAGTCCAAGAGGAGGAAGAACAAAGGGTGAAGTGTTAGTGAGAAAACTCTGAGTTTCATCTGCACCACAAGGGCTCACGAGTGTTGCGCGTGGGTCACTGGCCAGCAGTGATCATGGAACGCTGTGGATGGCTCGACGATAAACACGCGAGAAAAAACACACATGCACAGAGACAGACTAGTTTCTGTGGGGAAGTAGGGACGAAATGGCCACCCCCCCTAGCGGGGAGCGCGCCAATTTACAGTCCATACCTGCTTTTATTGGGCTCATTCTGCATAATAATTCAGGTAAAGTACAGTACTCATTAAGGGGAAGTAAGGAACCATAGAAAACAAAGAACTCTGCCGGTCTATTGAGTTGGGGGTCAAAGAGCTGTAAGACTGAGGAACAAATTAACTTCCTCCTAAGACCCTTCTCATTCAACTGAGAGCATTCTAAACAAAGAAGGTTTCACAGTAATTTACATGTTCTTTCTTAGGCCTGATCACCCTGGGGAATCCGCACTTCTCAGTACCGAGCTGCACCACCCTGTCATTGTTTCAGGCTTAGGTGGAGCACGGAAACCAAGGCAACCAAGAGATAAGGAGATTTTCTCCCAGATGGTGAGAACTCAGGCTATGTCAAAGCCGAGGAGCGAGGTTCCATCACCCCCTTTTGCAGCAGCCCCCCAAGTCCCTCTTTTGGGGGGCCTCCCAAAGTGATCGTGCCTGTCTTAGGTCGTTCCCCCCTTGGGGAATCTTACCCGTCTTTGGCTAACCGACCAAGCTTTTTGGGGTTCAGTTATGAATAAAGCAGCAGAAGCAGCATTCCTGCCAGGGAGATAAGCTTTTGTCTCCTTGCTGGCTTACGGTTCCAAGGGCGTTCCCTTAGCCTTAGCCTAGGCGGGGGTTTCAGCTTCTGATACCAGTCAGGGCGGTTCCCAACACCATTGTGAACGTGGTTAACTCAAATGTACTTGATTAATTTAAAAATGCCACTGGTACCTCTATAATTTTAATTCAAAGAAATACTTGTGGCCTCATTGGGGATAGCAGAGTGGCAGTGTGGAAAAGTAAATGTGCCCACTGAGGCATTCACCCAGCTGTGGGGGTAACCCTCAAGCAGATCCAACCACAGACTGGGGACTACCAGACAAAGTTGAAGGGCTTTCCACTGAGAACTACAACCTCAGCTAGCGAGCCTAGACCCGTGATGAATCTATAAATACCTGCCTCATGAGAGCATGTATGCAGTTGCTAAAACCAATATTGGCTGTGCTGTTTTAGGCTTATCTTTGCTACATTTCTCTTGGCGAGTATTCTAAATGGGATCTCTGATGCCCAGTGACCATTATATAATAGTCAAGTCAGCAAGCAGTTCGGTAGCATCCCTATCTTTTCAAATTAAGATTGGATTCTAGTTCTAAAAGACTTCAGTCTTAGATTCTAAAAAAAAAGGGAAAGCTTGGGGAGTACAAAGAAATACAGTAGAAATATGAGTAGAAAAATATGCAGGTTTGCAGGTAAAACACACACACACACAGCTGGGTTGGTGGACAAATCTCTCCCATTCAAAGCCCAGTCATCTACTCTGACTAGAGATAAATGAAAAGTCACTATTAATTATATTTGACACCAAAGTTGAGATAAATCTAGCAGGCATTCATTCTTGCTCATTCTACATCACTGTGGAGAATAAGAAGAGACAGTGGCTCCCACACAAAAGGTGGTGGTCACAAATGTGGGTCATGGTAGACTGCATAGGTTTCAATCCTGGCTCTCTGCTGCTTCCGATCACAGACCTCAGGCAACCTGCCACACCCTTCTAGGCCTCAGTTTTCTGAACCATAAAATGCAGATACCTCCTCCTTAGGGTCTTTGAGAGGAGTAAATGAGTTATTACAAAGAATGTGCTTAGAAGGAATGCAGATAGGGCTCAATAATTCTAAGCTATTATTAATGTGTCCAGAAGTCTCCAAATATTTTGCAAAGTTGTCCTACTGCCCTTAAGCGTTGACAGCTCTGAAGTTGGGGGATTCCAAAAGTAAAAGTCCCAAAGTATAGGAAGTGAGACAGCTACCAGCGATGCTGCCACTCCACACAAACTCAGCTAGACATTAACATGCTCATGTCTTAAAAACTAGTGTTAGTTAATTTTACCTCTCATGGTTCATGTTAACCTGGCTGGAAACCTTATGCCTAAGAGATATTTCATGTAGAATTTCAGCCTCTCCTAAGGCAGGAAAGGAAAGCCTTTTAAGAGCCTATGAAGCCGTGTGCCTCCAGCAGAGGTTTATTCTCTCTGTTACAGAAACCCAATTAGTCACCTTGTCAGAGTTCAATTTTACTAAAAAAGGGACCCCTGTGTCCCCCCAAGTGTTCTCTGATTCTAACTTTGCTTTCTAAAAGTTCAGGTCTCAGCCTGACTCTAAAAAATCTGGTGCCTCCCCAAAAATGATAATAGGGGAGGAAGAAAACCCCTTTCATGACTCAGGGATTTGTTTTTTTGTTCTTGTTTTTGTTTTTGTATTATTTAAAGACATGCAAAGCCTAGAGAAGCTCCTGAGAGATGCTGTAATCTACGGCCAGCCTCGAACCCACAGAGCTTGGAAAAAGATTCTCATCCTGGTGGAGGGCGTCTACAGGTATGTAAATAACCAGAGACATTTGAATACTCTGAAGCCCACAGCAAGCTGGCAAATGGAAAAAGGCTGAACTCTCCTAGCTAAATAGAAAAATGGGCTAAATACAGATATTATGGAGGGATCTGAGCTAGAGCTACTCATGTGAGCTGGCAGACCTTGGGTCACCTGTCTTTTTAATGACTATACATACGTTGGAGCACCTTGGAGGCTGGCATGCTTGTGAAGTCTTCTTCAGAAATATCCTCACAGGACATTACTGACTTGCATTGACTTTTTCCTCTACCTTTGGCTGTCTCACAGTTTCAAAGGCCTTTAGGGGCTGGGTGATTGAACATCAGAATGTTCCTTTACTTTAAAACTCTAGTAGATGTTGCTCATGGGAACCTGGATGTTTCTAACTGGATAGTGCAATCCAGTTCCAGTTGCTTGCTGAACTTGGCCAGGTAGCTGGTATCAAAATACAAAAGGCCTGCTCATTTTCTTCAATTTAGAGTGCAATTCTCCATACAGAACTGGGGGAGGGGGAGGGAGGGAACAGTCTTAGCTTCTGAAGGTATGCTCCAGCCTGAGTTTTCCTACCCTTTTTTGAGCTGAGCAGACAAAACACCCATTAAAGCTATTCAGAGCTATACTTTTATATTGCAGCTTGTGACAGAGATTGCCTCATTCCATGTCTGAATTGATTACTGAAGTGGAAATGTTCTCCAAGCTCTCCTTCTGTTAGATACACTAGTCCTAGAGTAAAGAAACATTATCTCAGAAGTTTCTCACTCCTAAATAAGTTCTCAAACAGTCCTAATATTACAGGAATTGAGGAAGATGTTTCCTATGAGATAACCATTAAAAAGTGAAAAATATGAAAAGAGGAGAATGAGGGCTCAACTTCCCAAAAAAGAGGAGTGTGTCCACAAAGGAGACTTGAGAACAGAAGTAGCATTTCTTTAAGCCAACTAATCCAATTGTTCCCAGAGTGCACACTATTTCCCTTAATTAAATAACAAGCAGTAGATGAAATGTGTCTCTATCCATTTTGGAAAAAAAGAAGTGCCTTCTCCCAAATTTAAAATTATCACATCATCAGCAGCAGCAGCAGCAGCAGCAGCAGCAGCAGCAGCAGCAGCAGCATCGTCATCATCATCCTAGCATCACTTTATTCTTTTTCTCTAGTACTTACTGCCCCAATGGTTGGTGTTCTTCATGTTCTCAGTGCTCCTGTGGGGTTGCAAAGCTGGCATTTCAAGTTTCTGGTAGGCTACCCCTGCATCACCTATCGGGAACTCCTCAGTCAGCCTGCGAGTGTATCCTGTTTATTAAATCTCTGGGATCACCCTAGAGCAGCATTCTTAACCAGGGTTAATTCTTACCCAAAACTCACCCCAATCTGAGGCACATTTGGCAATTTTCATTGTCACAACTGCAGAACAGACTGGCATCTAGTGGGCAAAGGCTAGGGGAGCTGCTAAACATCTTACAATGCACAGAATAGTCCCCTACAACAAAGAATTACCAGTTCAATTGTCAACAGGACTGAGGTTGGAAAACCCTGCTGTAGCATAATTGGACTATTCACTGGCCCTGAACTTGCTACTTTTAGGAAATAATTGCATATTGCCTCTGGGCTATCATGCCACAAGCATAGATATTTCTTCCTGTGTGATTTTCGACGGTTGCCAGTCTGGGAGGGGAGCCCTTATCTAAACACCTGTTACTCAGTCCTGGAATACAGGAGGATATATCACCTGAGGGAGAGCAGATGGGGCATCTCCATTTACCACAGTAAACAAAATCCAACTGAAAATAAATAAAACTTGACTCCACTAAAGTAAAATTGCATTGTATGCACACTGATCATGGCTGAAATTAAGTGGGCCACCAGTGTTTTATTCTCAAATATTCCATCAGTAATAAAAGAAATCACTCCAGTAGCAGGTATTGTTAATGGCTACACAGGACCTGCCTCCTACCATGATCTCAGGAGGACAGGGGAGCTGGGTGTGGACTTCTGGCTCTAGACCAGCATGGCACCAAACCACAACTTAGGCTTCATTAGTAGTGATTACTGTTCTGTTATCTATCACTGCATAATATGACGGGCCCCCCCCCAAAAACAGAATTATCTTCTGGAGGGTGGGCCCCTTGTAGTACAGGCTCCCCTGCCAGGTGAGTGTTCTAGGGATCCATCTGTATCAGTGTACCAGCTGGCATTGTTATTAGAGACAGTTTTCTGCTTCAGTGATTTTTTTTTAAGACTTTCGATGCATTTACCCATTTCATGATGGGTGATTTATGAGCATACCTGCCCACACCACACTGAATGTTAAGCAGTTTTTGGCCAAAACTGATATGACCCTCCTGCCCCACCCTCCCCATTCACTTGATCTCTCCCAGAGCAACTTTTTATTGTTTCCTCAGATGAAAAAATCCTCAAAGGGAAACATTTTGCCGATTTGGAAGAGGTGAAACAAAAAATGGCAGAAACCCTAAAAGGCATCAAAATCAATGAGTTAAAAAATTGTTCTGAGCAGTGGAAAAATGTCTTAATAGGTATATTACATCAAATGGAGAATACTTTGAAGGTGATTGGAGTTTAAACATGTAAGAATACACCCACAATTTAATAATGTGGGTTTAATGTATAAATACATTCCATTGTTTTGCAATCCCCCCTCTAGACCACTGCACAATATAATGGCTCACACAGCATCAATGAGTTGTTATTTCCCATGCTACTGTGGGGTGTCTGGACCCCCTGGGCAGTTCTCCTTCTGCTCCACATGGTGTTGATTAGGGATCATTCATGGGATTGTATTATGCTGGGAGTTCAGTAGGGGCTGGAGCATCCAAAATGATCTTACTTACTCATTTGGGCTCTTGGCATTGGCTGTTGACTGAAGTGTTTTGTTCTTTCCTCTTTACTAGGGTGCTTTCTCTATGTGTAGTCTTGTCCCATTCATCCAGAGCTTCCTTACAGCATGGCAGCTGATTCCAAGAGAAGGAAAGCAGAAGCTGACAGCCTTTCAAAGGCCAGGCCCAGAACTTGTGCAGTACCACTTCTGCCACACTCTATTTGTCAAAGCACATTACAAGGCCAGCCCCTATTCAAAAGAAGGGGAAATAGAGCCCACCTCCTGATGGGAAAACTGGATTAGTGTACAGGGATGGGAAGACTTGCAGGCAGCCATCTTTGGTGGGTCTACCCCAATGGCTCAATTAACCTCGCAGGTATACAGAGTGAAGTGTCCACTTCCCATGATGTGTCGTCATAGATAAGTTCCTTTTATCTTTCCTGCACAGGAATCTTGTTTTTAAATGAGACTGTGACTAACAGGCTTCATTCATACACAGTAGACAAAGCATGTCTAGGCCTCAGCACCTTCTAGAGCTTCAGTTTCCCCAACTGTAAAATACAGCTAGCCTAGGATAGAGTTTTGGAACATGGATGTTCTCATTTGATGCTGTCACCAGAAAATGAAATTACTTCCCACAAGATTCTCCAAAGGGCCAGGGTTAAGAATGTAAAATCAACAGTTTAATTCATTTCTACTTTTTAGAGATGTAATATGGACCCCTACCTTGTTGATATCTACACAAAGCATCTATTAAACTTTCACCCCCAGGGTTTTTTTATCTCTTGCTTGTGGTTTCCCACCATGGAAAACATTATCCCACCACAGAAAGCTCACATAAATCAATGTTTTTATAACTCCAGATAGGACAGTCAACCAAATTAGATAGTTTCAGGCAGGTATCAATGTAGAAAAGGCTAAATACCAAGGCCAAGAAGTCAGTAAGTGCCACAAAAGCAGATAATAATAATTACAACAAAAATAATAGCAATGTCACATCTATAAATAACCTATGTACTATTATTTACATATAGACTGTAGAATAGCCAGGACTTGAAGGGAGACCTGAGATTTGGATTCAAATGTTGTTGCCACCTACAGCTGCCACCCTTTGTAACATTCTTTTCTACATAAATGAGGTCATATAAGCCAGTGCTTGCCGAAGTCCCTCTCATAGTAAGCTTGCACCCAATGTCATTAAATTTATTTTCAGATGAGAAAGTTGCAACTTGGAAAATAAATCACCCATGTAGCCAAGCGGCTTCATTAGCTCTTCATCCACCTGAAGGAGAGGTGTCAGAGGAAGGAAATCACATTAATTTCCTTGCTAAACATTTCACATGTGCCATCTTGAGTAGTGAGCCTCTCCATGTCTCTTGAGGTTATTGTAAAGATGAAGATATTGAGGATCTGAGGCCTGGATAGCTTGCCCCAGGGCAGATAACTGAGGCAAAACAGAGCTGGGATTCAAATCAGGTGGCCCTGTTGAGACAGAGGCCCAATATAAACAGGAGAGTCAGCTAATGTGTCCGCATCTAATGAAGTAAACATGGGAACTGCAACGTTATCCATTTGACTCTCAGCATTAGCCTAACTAGGACTTAGTTTCTTTATCTGTAAAATAGGAAGATTGAAACTTAAAGCTTAAAGTTCCATGACTCCGTGATTTTTGGTTTAAAAGTACAATAGTAATATTTTAGTGTTCTGATTTGTATTTTTTTTAAGTATTACTTTGAAATCACACTCTTCTAATTTTATATCTCTGGGAAGTCTAGTTTTTGACTCATTGTAGTTGAGAAATCTCAAAATTATTCAAAAATATACTAAAGAAGGAGAAAGGGGTCCCAGATAACATGAAATATAAACTAGCATAGCTGGAGCACAAACTTTTAAAATAAAATTAACCAAAAAATAACATCCAGCCCTTCCAAAAGAAAAATATATATAGATAGATATATAAAATATATCTATATAGAGAGAGAGAGAATGGCAAATTCTGAAGTCTCTGAATGCCATTTTCTCTAAGAATATAAGCCATTCTCCTCAAAATACTGTGGGTTTAAGCACTGAAAACTTCAGTGGTAATCTCTAACCTATACCTTTAGCATTTAAACAAATAAAGATGAAGAATAAGAAGCACTAGTAACTCTATTATTAATTAGTCTTAGCTCTTTTTGTTCTCTCCTTCCACCTTCTTTTCCCTTGGGTTATACTTTGGGACCACCAAGGAGATTTTTCCACCATGTAAGTTGGCAAGCCACTGGCTTAATTCCCAATCCTACTAGTGGATAATATGGTTTATATGTGGAGGAGATGGTGGTGAGAAGACTTCAAAAAGAAGTCTTGTCACTCAACTAATACATTATGTAATAGAAAAGACATAAAGAAATTAATCACTGGCTCACTGGTTTAAGAATAATTCAGATCCCTTCACAGGGCTTCAAATTAACTGGTGGCATTATCTTTACCTGCAGTTGTATTTTAGTTGATTTCTTCTATTGAAGTCAAAAGAAATCACAGCTTTCCATTCTGAAAGAAAGAATTAAACACTCTCCTTGTTTTCTACATTGTTTTTGACAGATATGCGCAAGAATAATGATCGTCTGTATGCATGCACCAAACTCATTATCCCACTATAGGGAAAGGTTCAATCCAAATTAGGTCACAATAAGAAATTGAAGACTTAGTGCAAGTGAATATAACTCTTTATAAATGCTGAGCTCTCCCTAGACTCATGTGTACCCTGCATTAACTCCAGAAATCAGCAGTATTGTAGAGTCATTAATCTTACAGGGAGAAATATAAACCAGGTGGGCAGACTCCTAACATCAGCTAAGCCAGCCCCAGTGACAGATGGCTAATTAGCTGCTCTGAGTGTCTGCAAATTGTTCAACATTAACTCTGGCTCCTGCCAAATTCAGTTCCAGAACAAAGAATGGTTATTTGTGACATGTTATGTTTTTAGTATATTTGTGTTACCAACTTAAAACATTTTAAAGATGAGAAGAAAATCTAGAATTTTGAGGGCATCTAGCCATTTATTATGTGTGACACCCATATGCTTCTTTCCTAGAAGATGCAACACAGAGCATTGTCAAGGGTTCCCACCTCTCAAGTTAGGCCTCATCACAACCACTTTCTCCCAAGAACTGCAACACCCCAATGAGCACTCATTTATGTGTGAGACACTTTATCAGCATTATTTCTGGTCATTCTTATAAGGATATTCTAAGGAGGGTCTCACCATCATGCTTATTTTACATATGAGAAAACTGAGGCACAGAATCATGTAACCTACTCACACCCCCAATTAGTAAGTGGTATGGCTACAATCTGAGCTTAGGTAATTAGATGGCTGTACCACCTCCTCCTCAATGAAAATAACTTTAGCAAGCAATTTATCTAAGAAAATGTTGGAATTAACTCACAAACTTAAGAGAAGTTGACTCTGTTTGGTCTTCATTTCATTGACATCTAAAAACAGCCATTCAGAACAACTTTGTGTAAAACACAAATGCAATAAGCTGGATTCATTAAAACTAAGAGTTTAAACAATGAAAAATAATAATAAATAGATAAATAAAAAGCTCTAGTTTTGCAAAAGGCAATGTCAAGAGAATTGGAATTGCAAAAGATACATCTGATAAAGAACTGTTATCTAAAATATAAAAGAACTATTAAAATTCAATAATAAAGAAACAAACAACCTGATTAAAAGGTGAGCCCAAGCCCTGGCTGGATAGCTCAGTTGGTTAGAGCATTGTCCTGATATGCCAAGGTTGAAGGTTCAATCCCCAGTCAGGGCACATACAAGAAGCAACCAATAAATGTGCAAATAAGTGGAACAACAAATCAATCTCTCTCTCTCTTTCAAATCAATTAATTAAAAAAATTGGCCAAAGACCTTAATGGATAACTCACCAAAGAAGATATACAGAGATATACAGATGGAAATATGCATGTGAAAAGATGTTCCACATCATATAGCATCAAAAGAATGAAAACTAAGACAACCATGAGGCACCACTACAGATCTATTAGAATGGCCAAAATCTGGACCATTGACAACAATAGATGTCGGCAAGGATGTGTCACAATAGAAATTCTCACTCATTGATGGTGGGAATGCAAAATGGTACAGCCACTTTGGGAGACAGTTTGGTAATTTCTTACAAAATGAAATATGTTCTTATCTACAATCCAGCAATCATATTCCTTGGTATTTACCTAAAGAATAGGGAAAGATGTGTCCACACAAAACCATCCACATAAATCTTTATAGCATCTTTATTCATAATTGTCAAAACTTGGAAGCAAGCTTTCAGTCCATGAATGGATATGGATAAACTGTGGCACATCTAAAAGTGGAATATTATTCAGCACTAGAAAGAAATGAGCTATCAGGCCATGAAAAGACATGGAAAAAACTAAATGCACTTTAGTAATGAAAGAAGCTAATTTAGAAAGGCTACATAGTGTATGATTTTAACTACTGACATTTCAGAAAAGACAAAAGTATGGAAACAATGAAAAGATCAGTGGTTGCCAGGGGTTGGGTGGGGACAAGGAAGAATAAGCAGAGCACAGTGGATTTTTAGGGCAGTGAAAATAGGTGGTATGATGAATATGTGTGATGCATATCATTATATATGCATTTGTCTAAACCCATGAATGTACAACACCAAGAGTAAACCCTAATGTAAATTAGGGACTTCGGGTGATGATGTGTCAATGTGGGCCCATCAACTGTATCAAATGTGCTGCTGTGGTGGGAGAAGCTGACAATGGTGGCAGTTTATGCAGATGTATGAGACATGGAACATGTGGGAAATCTCTGTATTTTCCTCTCAATTTTGCTGTGGACTTAAAACTGCTCTAAAAAACAAAGTCCTTTAAACACACATACACATGCTACCCTTGATCATCATACTCCCTCCAAACCAACACCATTGGTCTGGGTAATTGTACAACCAGCTGGACTGTTTTGATTGAATTGACCTAACACTTAGGTTTATTTTTCTAAATGTATTAACTTTAATAAATAAACTAATTAGGAAGAAAGGAAAAGTTCAACTCTGTTTGTGTCAGTTGATTAGTTCTTGAACTAAATTGACAGGTTGCTTGAATTGTTTGACAAACTCCTTTGTGGGGTGAGGGTGCGAGTCTGTGTTCTCATAAGACTCTCCTGTCAGTGGACTCAAAACTGTGTGTGATGCAGACACAGTTTACCAAGTGTTCTGAGAACTGACTGAAGTCATTGATTTTCAGAGTTGCCATTTAAATATAAATTATAATTTTGCTTATTTATTTATTTCATGTTTTTCTCATTACTGGAGAACCTGAGGTGTTTTTGCAATTTATAATATCATGAAAAAGTAAGCACTTAGGGCTAAAACAAAACAGTTTATCTGCAGCAGTGGTTCTTCAACTGTTGTCCCCAGCCAGCAACATGGGCATGTCCTAGGAACTTGGTAGAAATGCATATTCTCAGCCCATCCCAGTCCTACTAAATTAGAAACTCTGGGGCAGGGACCCAGCCATCTGTGCTCTAGTAAACCATTCAAGGGATTCTGGTGTTCACTCAAGACTGACAACCATTGCCCTGAAGGAACAGAAAGAAGGGACACCACCAGATGCCTCACATGAACCCTTGATTTCCAGTGAATACAGAGGTCTCCCACATCTGTGGTTTTCCTTTACACCATTTCAGTTACCTGTGGCAAACCACAGTCCAAAAATATTAAATTGAAAGTGCCAGAAATAAACAATTCATAAGTTTTAAAGTATGCACCATTCTGAGTAGTGTGATGAAATTTCACCATTCCATTCAGGACATGAATTATCCCTTTGTCCCGAGTATCCACACTGTATACACTCCCTGAACCATCATTAGTCCCTCAGCGGTCATCTCAGTTAGCAGGTCCTGTCAGTTATCAGAGAGAGAAAGACCATGTTCACATAACAATTATTACAGTATATTGTTACAACTGTACTTTATTGTGTTATTATTGTTAATGTATTACTATGCTAATTTATAAATTCAACTTTACTACAGATATGTATGTATAAAAAAACAAGTACAGTATGTATAGGGTTTGGACTATCCTTAGTTTCAGGCATCTACTGGGGGTCTTGGAACATAGCCCCCAAAGATGAGTGGGGATGACTGTATTGCATAACAGATCCTAAGAACTTTCTGTTGTGCTTTAATTAATACTATGTGTCCTAAAATAAAGTTATTTTGTGTGTTTTTAATTCCTTCTTTCAATCTCCAGCAGTTTAAGCACTGAGTTTAGGTCAGAGAGGGCCAGAACTGGCCAAATAGAGAGTGACAGGCTGATAAGGATGGATCACATGGAGCAATTTAATTAAAACTTGCAAATACCCAAAATCCATAGTTGTCAGTCTAACTAAACTTGTCATCTTTAAAATAAATTGATCAACAATGCTGTGAGCTAATTGTTTACTTGGGAATTAGCTACAACAACTCAAAGCACTTAAACCCACTAATGTAACTTATTCTTTTCCTATGAAGTACTGCCAGATTAGCCTTGTCATATTAGCCTGAGAAGGTTGTCTCAGACCAAAAAAAAATATCCCTTAAGAAGAAAAGAGTGAAACATCTCTGTCATCCCTGACTAGTGTCAGGGCAGGCTCTCTGCAAAATATTGAAAGGGAGAGTAACGCAGAGCTTCCTAGGAGGGTACACACTAGTGACGAACATTTCTCCTTATGCCCTAGCATGGAAGGTTCCATTGTGCATCTGCCCCAGATCGTGGCTCTAAAGAAGAAATACAAGGCTTACCTCTACATAGATGAAGCTCACAGTATTGGGTCTGTGGGTCCAACTGGCCGAGGTGTAGCGGAATTCTTTGGAATGGACCCTGGAGATGTCGACGTGCTTATGGGCACATTCACCAAAAGCTTTGGAGCCTCAGGAGGTTACATAGCAGGAAGGAAGGTAAGAGAGGGGCTCCTTGTGTCTATTTAAAATTTGAACAACCTGGGGATGTTTTGAAGGGCTTAACTGGGTTCCATAAGAGCTTCAGTTCAGTTCACCACACCTCATTTGATCACCGCAGCCTCATGACAGAGGGTTCACAGCCACGTGGCCCCCAGAATGTCAACAAGCTCACTCTCTGACAATGCAGAGGAACATGTGATGAGTAATCACATTTTTATAAAATTACACCAGAGGTATACACAGGCAAAGACAGCACAAAGGAGAGGGATGATGAACTCTGCAGGCAGTATGGAAGAAGTCTTAGAATGAATGTCAGTTCTATAGGCCAATGATGGGGGATTGTATTTCTGTATACCAAACCACAGAAATGATAAGGAGATGTTACAAAACTGTAAGCAGTGTGGTTTTCGTGGCATGAAAATACAAATCAACAGTGCAGGCAAAGATCAGATATTCAAGAGGTGAACGAACCTGTGCTACAATGTGGGCTTAAAGAGTACTGATCAAAATAGTAGTCACAAGATTAGAAACCTCCTTTTAAGGGATTTTCTCTGCAAAATAGTTCTCTCTCACAGTTTTGGATAATTCATGGATCAAATCTTGTCATCCGCTAATACCTATATGCCTTAAAAATTCTGATCTGATGAGATTAGACTGTTAAGTGAGTGTTACTAGGGTCATTCTAATGCCAATATCACCAAGGGGGTTGCCAGCATAAGCCAATAAATGTTAAAAGAAATTTTAAAGAAGAGGGAAGCAGAAAAGAAAATGAAATATTCAAAACTTGGGTTTGAGAGATAAAGAAGACAGTTGCCTGCCTCGTTGTATGGCAGTTTTATCTACATCCTGATAGCTATTGCACACAGGCCTATGCCTGTCCCAAAGAGACTGTGTGACAGTGGTGTTGGCTCCACCCAGGCAGATACAGCACACCCAAAACTAATGTGTGCAGGTGGCATCAACAGCTTACCTAAAATTCTGAGTTCCTTGCTTACTATGACCAGCAGGATCAAGAGTTCAGACTCGTGGTAAACCAGTTGGGAAAACCAGGGAGAACAGCTGAAAACAGTGTGGTCATCGAAATCCTGTTATTTAAAACAACTGTTTCATTGTGGCCACTTGCCCTGCCATGAGTTGCACAAATGCTTCAAATGTTCAGAGTTTTCAGTGGTCTTTACCCTTCAATAAGTACTACTTTTCGTCCAAGCTCAAAGCACTGTTTTTCATCCTGTGGGAATTAGCTGGGTAATGCTAAAAACAGTCGGAATGCCCAGGATCCTACGAAATTCAGCTAAATCTGGTAAAAGGTTAAATGTTCCCTTCCTTGACTGAAAAGGCAATGGGATCAGAAGGTCTCAGATGTAGGAGTCCCCTTCTCTAGGCTACAGTAGTTTGTGAGCTTGTGGTTTTGTGATTACTTTAGCAGCAGTTCTGAGCTAGAAAAATTTTAACCAGGCATAACTCTGTTTCCTGAACTGAAGGCACCTGAATAAACTGAAGCAAGCCGATCCTTGAAATATTGTCAAATTTGGCAGTTGTCACATTTTCCCCCTTCGAGTTTCTTCTTTTGATATCACTTTAAACAAAGGTTCATGAACCCCAAAGTAAGGACCAGCTCACAGTTTTCTCTCACACTCTCTATCCCAAAGTCAGTAAACTATTTTAAAGGTGTGCTTGCTCTTGTCCATGTAACTTCTGTTCATCTGGGGTAGATACTAAGCAATTGTGAAAATTATTATTTACATTAATCAGGATGCAGAAAATGTATATAGATCTATTTGTTTTGTTGCTCTTTAAAATACTCATTTTGTGCATACAGTACTTGGACACAGAGGACTGAATCATTCCTCTTCCTCTGCCTCCTCCTCCCTTTCTTCCTCCCTTTCCTCCTCCCTCTCCTCCCCTTCTCCCTTTCTTCCTCCTCTACCTCTCTCCTCCCTCTTGTTTCCCTGCAGTTCATGAGTTTACCACTAGATGGCAGCAAGAATTAGGAAGTGTTTGGCAGAGATCCATTAGCCTGTACAGACTCTGCCTTGAAACAGCAAGATGCAAAACCTAGAAAACATAAGGAGGTTTTCAAGACATGAAGAGTGAGCAGGAGATAGGAGGTCACTTGAGAAGGTGTATGTATGTGTCATTCCCTGGTGATTTAAAAATCAGCCAGATACACACTTGTCTGGAAAGGTATTTTTTGGTCAGACTGTGACAAACCCAGATAAACTGTGGTTTCCTTCCAGCCTAATGAGCCCAAGTTCATGAAACTTCTATATCAGCTTTTCTTACCTTCAATTTTTAAAATTATGTTAACTTTAAGTTATGTATAGTTTCCATTTAAATCATTGTTTATTTCCCTAGACTTTGAAAAACTTTGTGAAGAATTTTCACTTTTTGTTTGTTTTAAACTGCTTTTTTAACTGATGGGACATAGGGTAGGACAAATACTAATGCTTTTGCTTGAAAAAAATCTTGCTACTTATCTACTTAAGTAGAGTACAGCTTTCAGGACTTCACCATATAAATTTCCCTGGATATTTTTCAGGTTATGTCTCAATTTGATGGGTACTACAAAAATATACAGGATTCTAAACCAATAGGTTAAAAGGCAACAAAATTAACCATAAAAAAATGTTAGCATGCCCATATTAGGACTATGCATTTTTCTGAAACCCTAATAATTTAAATTTTACTATGTTCATTGAGTTCTTAGTAAAACTTGGGAGATTTTAAAGTATCACTTGGGTCTAAAATGCTAGAAAAAGGTGACTTACTGGTTCCTGCCTCTCTTTCTAAATATGAATATTAGGGTTAGTTATAGGGGGACTATACATATTCTCACTAACAGTTACTAGAAGGCTCTAGAAATCTTTGTGGAGCTGGTCAAGGTGAGAACTATATACCTTAGCAATCAGATGCATCATATAAGAAAAAATATTTGGAAACAAATGACAGGATTTTAAAAATGATTTGGTGCTAAGATACTAGCGCAGAGTAGAGATTTCATCTTGGCCTGGGTATTCCCATGACAAAGTGTCCTACAAAGTCATCTCTGCTTATTGGAGTTTACTGCTGTGACCTCACCCTTCTCTCTCCACCTCAGGAAAACTGCCAAAAAGGCTCTCAAAGTTCAGCAAGATTTTGTTCTTTTGCTCACCTTGAGTTTGGAGTGGCTGTAAGATGATCTATGAGCAACCCAACTTGGAACAATCTGTTCTTTTAAGATTTTTGAAGTAAAATGTCAGGTAATTATCTTCACCTGTCAGAGTTCTATGCCGTGAATGGCTTTTTAAAGAATGTCTGAGATGATGTGGCTAGTTTTCTTATTTTTATTTTTTAATTTTTATGGATCCAATTGCTGAGGAGATAGGTCAACATTGCAAACCCAGTTTTGGGGTCCACATTTTTCTCAGGTATGATCCTGAGTTTTCTTGCATGCCTAGTGCTGACCACTGTCTTTCAGTCTCCACTGGCTGACCAGAGACTTACAAATGAATAAAGCAAATGTAGCCCTCATGATTGATAGGTTGCAGGGCTGGAATTCTGGAGGAGGGATATGGGACAGAGCAGCCGAGTTTGGAGTGAGCATTATCCCCACAAGCCTGTGTGCCAGACGAAGGCAGCCCCCTTGCAGAAGCCAGCTCTGCCCCGCATGCTCAGCCCTGGCTGTATTTAACAGCCCTTTGAAGTAAATGGGGGTCATGGAATGAATGCCAAGATGTTTATTCTAAGAGTCTCCTGTCTGATTTTCTCAGAAAAGCCACCCTTGTCCTTGAACTCCAGACCTATGGGTAGAGAAAATAATCAGGGTTTTGAACGTACAAATGGACATGGAAACTTCAGTGTGAGAAGACCTCTAACCTACCCTGAAGGAAGACACAACCCAGACTCGCCTTGCAAAAGACCAAAGCCAACTCTTAATTCATGGCTCATGGCACCCAATGGGGGAATGCTAAAATGGAATTTTTTTTTAAGAAAACAGAAAACAAGGCTTTCCTTGATGCTCTACAGAAGTTACTCAAAGAACCCCACTTTTCTAGCCACACAAGCAAATTAGTCCATGTCTGTACACTCAGACTCTGATAGAAAATGGACTCAGTCTAGAAGAAGATTATGAGCAAGATAAGCTTAACTTTAAAAGGAAGTGATATTGCACTGATGAGGCATTTACTTCAAACTAAGAATGCACATGGCCTTGGTTTTACGAAATTTCTAAATTTTTGAAGGAAAATTGGGGGTAAGGACATTGAGAAGAGCCTTTTAGGGATCAAAGGCAGCCTTGTTTTGTTTCCTTGTCTGATCTTTGTCAGTGATGCCACAAGGCTACTTTTTTTCCCCTAAGAAAGCAGCTTAGTGTCCCCCTATATACTTCAGGGACCCTTACCATCCTTCCTTAACCCTTAAAACAACCCCATTCTCCATCAGTATTAGACCATCAGTATTTAACAGACCACTCAGCATTTTCAGTAAAGTGTATAACTCTGTTTCCTACTCTCAAGATTTCAGTCTCTTTGGAGATATAAGATTAATAGACATGAAACATTCGATACTGATACAATTCAATCTATGGCTTAGTACTATAAATACTTGAGTATATAAGGAATTATCCTGTCCTCCCCCCTAAAAAAGAGACACAGTCCCTGTGGATTAGGAAAAAGTAGAAGTGAAGGTAGTCTTCTCTTTGCCCTCCTGGTCCCCCCTCTTCTGGTCTGAAGAAGTAATAAGTGTGGTGTTAAGAGTGCAGACTCTTGAGCCAGGCTCTTTGGGTCCATATCCTTACTATCTAACCACTATTAGGTTGGATAATTTTCTGATCCTTTCTATGAGTCAGCAATCCCATCTATAAAATAGAAATAAAAATAGTACCTACCTCACAGAGTTATTATGAAGCTAAAATGAGATAACACATAAAGTTCTTAAAATGGAGCCTCAAGCAGCCAATGATTTTCAGCTGTAGATATATCAGTGATTATATCAGCGATTATATCAGCTATGCCATCTTTTCAGAGTCAAGCAACCTGTCAGGTTTGGGTACACACCTTTCTTTAAAGTTTCTGTTGTCCTTTCTTTTCCCTCAAATAAGGATGGAGGAAGTATTGGACTGAACATCTTTAGTATGATGTCTGGGTCCAATGTGTAGTTGCATAAACTTAAAACATTACCCTCTGCAAAATGAGGGAGCTGTAATAAAGGGACTCCAAGGAATTTTTATATTTTGGTCCCCTCCCTCCACCCATTCTCCCAGTTCTAAGAATCTCTGGGTTGAAAACCCAGTGATAACTGCCAACAGCATCAGTTATTCACTGTATATTATACCAGATACTATTCTAAGCACTATATATGTATTAACCCATTCAATCCTCATGACTCTGAGATATTATCATTGTCTCATTTTCCAAAGAAGAAAACTAAGGCACAAAGAAGTTTAATAAATTGCATATGGTCACATATCAGTAAGTGGCAGAGCCAGAGTTTAAACCCAAACAATCCACAGCCTGTGCCATAGCTCCAAGGTCATACTTGCCTTCAAGGAGACAACCCCTCATCACTTTTTCTTGGAAGCTCTAGCTTCTCTCTCTATTCTTAATTGACTCCTCCATTGTTAGCTGCTTAAGATGCCTTCTCGATCCCTAGTTTTAGTGCACATCCTTGCCTTTCACCTCTTCTATGTATATCCAAACTTACCCATTCTTCAAGGCCAGATTACCTCCCTGAAACAGCCCTTTCCTGACTTAGTTCCACAGGAGCCCCTCCCAGGTCTCCTAGTTGGCTTCTTCAGCATCATGCTGGGAGGTACCAGCTCTTAATAGAGAAGGAAAACCCTTGCTGCTGCCCAAAGAGAGCACTGAACATAGAGCTGTGAAGAACAGATCTGCTGAAGCTACTCTGGAAAATGGCTGCCTCTCTCTTTGAGCAACACCCCCCACCCTGCTGTCCTCCAAAGTGAATATCCCAAATATTATGTTCCCAGTGCCTTAGGTCATCAGACATACACTCTTCAAATATAGTGAAACCCCACCAAACAAAAGAGATTCACCAAACAAAAGAATAGACAGGAATCAAATTTTAATTTTAATATAAGTAGATAATGGCTGCCAATAACTAGTTTTTCTATTCTTCTTCTTTTCTTGGACTTCCACACCCAGAACATAGCCCAGAGCCAGAAGGTGGAGGGTCAGGGTGGGGAAAGAAAAGAAAAAGAAAAAAAAAAGGAGGAAAGGAGGAAATAGAAACAGAGAAAAACATTAAGTGGAGAATTTGAAATTAAAAGGAGGGAGGGAATCTGAGTAAAAGCAAAGAGGAGGAAAGAAACAAAAAAGGAATGAAAAAAGAATGTAAAATGAAGGAGAAAGGGAAGAAAGGATTTCAGGGAAGAAGAATGCATGGAAGATGGGATTTAGAATGAAGGACATGTTGAAGAAAACAGGAAGGACAAAATGGAGCTACTGGTTCCCTACATGGGCCAGGTAGAGGCATCATGTCACCAACCAGCTGGGAAGCAGGTAACTCTCTTTACTGAAGAAGATGAGCAATGAAGATGACCCCAAGAGAGATAGAAAAGTGGAGGGTAGGGCACAGTCCCAGGCTCAGAGGTGGGAATGGATGTAGCCAGTGAAGCAAAGATTAGGAAGAGATGGGTCTGCCCAATGCAGAGCTACCCCCATCCCAGTTCACCTACAAGAGGGAATAATTGGAAAGGACACTTAAGTGGGATTTTAAATTGTCTTGTTGTCCTAGAAGAGAAGGTGACTGATCCTCTACAGATCCCACTGCTAATATAGAGAGCTTTCATCAGCCCATTAGCTTTTCTGCAGAACACCCTGAAGGTCCCAGGTAATGAGCCAGTACAAGTGGGCAAATAGATGGTATTCCCAGCTGGAGCTGAGTGCCTCCAGATGCCAGCTCTGAGGCCCTCCTGACTGTGACATTAGGATATTAGAGTTTCTTTAGTGTTGCGCATGGGTCACCGGCCAGCAGTGACCACGGAACGCTGTGGATGGCTCGACGATAAACACGCGAGAAAAAACAACACATGCACAGAGACAGACTAGTTTCTGTGGGGAAGTAGGGACAGAATGGCCACCCCCCCTAGTGGGGAGCGCGCCGATTTACAGTCCATACCTGCTTTTATTGGGCTCATTCTGCATAATAATTCAGGTAAAGTACAGTACTCATTAAGGGGAAGTAAGGAACCATAGAAAACAAAGAACTCTGCCCGGTCTATTGAGTTGGGGGGTCAAAGAGCTGTAAGACTGAGGAACAAACTAACTTCCTCCTAAGACCCTTCTCATTCAACAGAGAGCATTCTAAACAAAGAAGGTTTCACAGTAATTTACATGTTCTTTCTTAGGCCTGATCACCCAGGGAATCCGCACTTCTCAGTACTGAGCTGCACCACCCTGTCATTGTTTCAGGCTTAGGTGGAGCAAGGGAACTAAGGCAACTGAGAGATAAGGAGATTTTCTCCCAGACGCTGAGAACTCAGACTTTGTCAAAGTCGAGGAGTGAGGGTCCATCACCCCCTTTTGCTGCAGCCCCCCCCCCAAGTCCTTCTTTTTGGGGGGCCTCCCAAAAGTGATCGTGCCTGGCTTAGGTTGTTCCCCCCATGGGGAATCTTACCCGTCTTTGGCTAACCGACCAAGCTTTTGGGGGTTCAGTCATGAATAAAGCAGCAGAAGCAGCATTCCTGCCAGGGAGATAAGTTTTTGTCTCCTTGCTGGCTCACGGTTCCAAGGGCGTTCCCTTAGCTTTAGCCTAGGCGGGGGTTTCAGCCTCTGATACCAGTCAGGGCGGTTCCCAACACTTTAGGCTCCCAGCAGGCTTATGTGGGACCTTATATTTAGCTTCAGGAGTCAAATACACAGGTAGAGAATCATTCCTCCCGCTGACACTGAAAACCAGCTTTCTGTAGTGAGTTGGAACCCCAAATAGTGTTGCACATAATTGCAGTAGTTTCCTATTGCCCAAGGTATAACGAGCTCTCCCTTCTGCCACTCCATCTCCCCACCCAAGTTTTCTTTTGCTCTATATTTGTCTTTATTCTTCAAGACTTAATCAATTTCACTTTCTTCCTGGAACTTTCCCTATCTATTCCAACTAGCACATACCTACTCTCTTTCCTCTGCAGGCTGTAGCCCTGTTGCATATACTAGTTTGTATGGCTTGTTACTTTTCCTACCATTACTTTTCCATGGGCACAATTTAATGTAATATCCTCAATGGCAAGATCACATCTTGTGTTCTTTGGACACTCCTGAATACTAAGCCAGTGTTTGTATATACTAAGTACTCAACAAATGTTTGGGAAATAATTTTTTTTTTACACATCTGGTTTGGCTTTATAGACCTCAACTCCAAATTTACATCCTCTACTGGATACTTTCTTAGTTTATGAGAGAGAAACTAAGAAAAGGGATAGAAAAATGTTTGGTAATGCCCATTGAAAACTGGGTCACATTCAAGAATCAAATGTCTTATGCTATGATGAACGAAATTGGGACAAGAGGTGATTTTCACCACCAACAGTAAGATTTAATTGCCTTCTTTTTGGATTTTCCTCCTTTACTAAAGGACCTGGTGGATTATTTACGGGTTCACTCACATAGTGCTGCTTATGCTACATCCATGAGCCCCCCAATAGCAGAGCAAGTCATCAGATCAATGAAATTCATCATGGGACTGGATGGGACCACACAAGGTAAGAGGGCCTGCAGTGAGCACAGCTCCCATAAAATCCTTTCCTAGACCTCTCCCTGTGTCCTCTTGCCCCATCAAGTTCCCTCTTCTAAAATATATACCTTTGAGTTAATGTATCTGAATTTGTAAATCAAGCCACATGTACATAAATAGCACATACACATCATACCCTAATACACATCATACCTGGTACATAAATGTACCAAAACTGCTGTCAATACACACAAAAAAAGAAATGCTTTTTTAAGGCAAAGAAAAGTTTTTCATTTACCTCTTAATGTGATCAGCACATTTGGTTAGTTTTGTATAATTAGTTGCATTAAAATGAATCAAGCTAAGGTATATGTTTGCCTGTGCTTTCTCAGAGCTGTCAATTTAATATACATTTTTTTATATATCTACCTCATTCTTTCTCTTTCTCTTTCTTTCTTTCATGGGAGAGGAAATCCACCACTGGCCATTTGAGAATACATAGACAAAACAGCACACAATAACTTTCCAGCCATTTCTTTGCCATTGGGTCACTGCAGCCAAAGCATGCTGATTTGCTCAACCCAAATGAACTTAATCTTCTTTTTGAAAAATTGTTTCATCAAAACCCCTTGGGAACCTCCTTCTCTCTTTCACATACAGTTTATAGAGCTTCTACTACATATTACAGAGTAGGTAACAGTAGTAAATAAGTCCGTTCTTGCTGCCAGACAATCTAGTGAGTCTTTTTGTGGAAGTAGCAAATTATCCTGGGCCAGAACTGACCCCTAGGATAAACATTCCCTGTGTCCCACCCCACCTCCCAGCTGATATGAGGTCCTATTATTTACCTTACAAGTAGTTCAACCTTACAAGCCGACTACCTCAGGAGAAGTCTGGAGAAACTCATCATTTTTTCAAAATCTATCAAAGCAGTAGAATATTCACATACAAATTTACCCAGAAGCCTACTATATAAAATAGATTAGAACAGGGTTAGTCATTCTAATCTCCAAACTGACAGCTCCTGTGACCTTTCTGCTGAGTTCTAGTAATCCCCAGGTCACTAATTTGAAAACCCCCAAGGGAGATCTTTCTCACAAAAGCAGGAAAATGGCTTGCAGAGAGATTTTGTTTCTCCTCCATGTAAAATGCAGGGATTGATTGATCTCTAAGGTCCCTTCCAGCCTTGTCTTTTGAGTTTTATGATTCTGTGTTTTATTGAACAGTCTGTGTGAAAAGGAAATGAAAATCCAATCTAGAGAAGCCACATGGTGCGATGGTTAAGGGCATAGACTGAAAGCAGCTGCTTGATTTTGACACCTAGGATACTAGGTAGCCTGAGGCAAGTGACTTATCTGTTTAACCCTGAGCAAGTTACTTCTCTGTGCTTCAGTTCATCCAGCTGTAAAAGGAGGGAGATTTTATTGATGAGTTAAGGTTTTTATGAGACATGTAAAATGCTTAAAATTATGTCTGAAAACAATTATATAGTAAGTACTATATAATTGCTTACCATGTTATTTGCTGTTTTTCCTGAGGTGTTCAAGAAGTATTTGGACCATTGTCTCAGGGCTGCTATAGGAAAGATTCTTATGATGGAAGTGAGATAAGACTACACGTACTCCAAAGCCCTGCATTAGTCAGGATAAATTAATTTATGCCACATAACAAATACACTTTGAAAATCTCAGTGGCTTAATAAAACCAAGGTTTATTTCTTGTTTGTACCACATTTGATACAAATCAGACAACTCTGCACAGTTGGCGTCCATGGGCACAGTGACTCATGCTGGCCATCTCAGCATGTAGCCTACATTGGCTAGAGAATGAGAGCATCAGCCCAGAAGTGACACTTACCACCTTGCCCACAATCCACTGGCCAAACCTAGTTACATAGCCACACCCAAATTTGAGGAGGGTAGTAAATTGGATATGATATGGATAAGTAGATTTGTTTCAATCTCTTAAAACTAAAGCTAGGAATAGAGCTTTCCATGCCCACATGAGCTGTCATGTTGTAGAAAAAGCTGGCCTAGCACCACTGGTTTCTCATGAAGCCATTTAATGATCTTGAACTTCATGCATCTCCTAATGGAAAACAATTATTTGAGACATAAGTTAAAGAACAAGTTAAGTGAATTGCCTTACAATTACCAGAATTATCCTTTGGTCTTATTTTAGAAATGAATAACTAGAAAAAAAGTTACTCTGAAAATTAGCCTATTTCTTAAGCCCTTTTATGTATGTGTTATCAGAGTCAGATGATTTACATGTACGCAACTTGACAACCATTTCCTTCTTTCCTTTGGATTGCTTTACCACTTCATCCCAGAGAGAACTCATTCTGTGTATTTGATCACAGTTGAAGATCTGCAGAAAAATTGTACTCAATAATCACTTCTCCTTTGATAGTTGTCTATCATCAATATTTATTCTTCTGAGGTTGGAGATATTTCCTTGGTTTTCTCTCTTAGCATTAAAGTTAAAGAATTATTTGGTTATTAATTTTAACCTCCCAGTTAAAGTTCCTCCCTTCACTACTCTTGCCATTTTAAGAGAGAAAAGAGATAAATATATAAGAGAAGGCTATGTGGGTAGCCTGTCTCCTTAGAGCCAAGATTGGAGAACCACAGAGAAAGAAAGGACAGTTTCTTTTCAAAGGAATGAACAAAAGAAAGTAGGAGGAAAGAAAATTGAGAGAATCATCAGCCAAGTTTCGGATGGTTCTGCCTGATGCCTCTTTTGAAGAATTCAAAGGCATGCACTGAATGATCATGCTGGCCTCATTTATGACAATGCCTGCTTTAAATAAAATGAGCAGGACAGGTTAGGAATATTACGGTAACTCACCCCTTTCTGCTGATGTAGACAGACTCTCCTGGTAAAGTTGCCCCACACTCAAAGGGAAGCACTATGTCATGCCAGAGCCGCTTTACAGGATCTAAGAGAGAGAACCCGGCTCCAAGCCTTCATCCTTGGCCCACTCCGCTGCCACTGTGATTGGAGCCTTTCAAGGCTTTGTTTCGGGGTTGAGTTTGGGGAGCGGTTGGCCAGATCTCTTTTTTGATGAATGTCTTCACTTTAATCTGCAATGCAAAGCCATGCGCTTCAAAGAAAGACAAGCTATGGGAATAAGGTCAGTATTCCTTTGAAGCCAAGGTTCAAAGATGAAATAGCAGTCCCAGTGAAATGACAGTGTTTATGCACAAACAAGCACCTCACCCTGCAGCCAGGCTGCTTGTGGGGTTAATGCACACAGGCTGAGGGGCTGCAGGTCCGTTGCGCGTGTGTTCCACATGCACCGAGGCCCTTTTCATCTCCAGTTCTGTCACTGTGCAGCACAATGAGCCCAAAGTGAAGATTTGGTTTCTCCATCTTAATGGATGTTGGGTGGTCCACCAGCAAAACCAATGCTGTACCAAGGCCCCATGAGGCCTAGAAATATGTCTTGAATTAATCTGGTGTTCTTCTGAGTGTTAAAGCCAGTGCTCAGCTTAATAAATATATCATGACTCAACTTCCAGCTCACCAGCCTACTCGATTTCAGTGTCAGTGCTATGCTAAACAACATCAAGGGGATGTTTATCTCATAGGACTAGGAGCCAGGAATGAATTCCACACCAGTTGTGGCTGCTAAGGGGACCCCTCAGTAATTGGCATACCTTTCAAAGAGGTACAGAAAGAATGCAGCACAGTCGTTTTCTTCTAGTCAGACATGGTACAAGCAACCACAGGAGGGTGAGCCCGAAACCACACCAATGACTCCCCTAAAGCAAGCATTGTCAAAAATTCTTATTTATTTAATCGTTGATTAATATTTTTCCATTAATGAGTCAATGTTCTTTATGAGCTCCCAATTTTGTCCCTGCCTTTCCACCCTCCCTTCCCCCAGTTCTGGGTACCCTTTCAGTTCTCAAATCACAAGGAAGGTTAAGGGTGTGTGTTCTGTAGCTGGGCTGCTTGAAGCACAGTCCCCTGCTTACTATTTGCTCCATGACTGGCAAGGTGCTTACCCTCTTTAGCCTCAGTTAATTCATCGTAAATTGGGGTTTTCAGGAGGATTCAATGATGCCATATAGGTACTGAACTTAGCATGATGCTTGATACACAGTAAACACTCAGGAACTTGAGTATGCATCAGAGTTACCTGGAGGGACCCTGCTCTGGAGAGCCTCTGATTCAGAAATTCTTATTGCAATTCTTATAAGCTCCCAAGTGATGCTGTTTCTGCTGGTTGAGGTACCACACTTTGAGAACCACTACTGTATGATGACCTCATAATCAATTATCCTCTCCTGTCAGGCACCAGTGGATTGTGCATTTCTTATGGAGAGAGACCATCATCATATCACCAATGATCAGCATAGTGCTTGATGCATAGTAGGCCTCCAATACATATTTTCAAGTTGAATTAGAAAGAAATGTTCCAACCCCCAACTGTGCATTGCCATGATTCAGATGCAGATAAAATATCTGTTAGTGTCATCTTTTCATCAAAAGACTCTAGCAGAATCTCTCAACACTTGGTACTCACCATCTCAGAGACTAAACTTGCTCACCAAGATCAGCCTTTTTTTGAGGGGGTAAAATTCTTGCCTAAGTTCATGACTAGTTTTGTTCATTATATTTATATGCTAATTATAATGCCACAGATGTCAGAAAAAGTTGCCCATGTGTTCCCAACCATCTGAAGTGCGGGGATTACCTGATGGGAAAGAGAAAATGACCGCAAATTGTGACACAGCAGTGGTTCTCACAGTGAGAACTGCAACAAGCATTCCTGAATCAGAAGTGCTGAGGGTAGGTCAGCAGTCTCATTTCACCATCCCTGCAGGTGACTCTGATACAGGCTCAAGTTCTAGAAGCATATTTCTATGTAAAGGAAAGGAAACAGGTGAGGGTATTGCACAGCAGAAAGTGAAGAGAAAGAGTATGGAATTCTGGCAGATGCAAGCAGGGGTAGATGAACTAGCAGAATACGAGGAGGAAGTACAGATGAAAATAAGAGAAAACCCATGGTGGCGAGGG